TTGATCCAGAAAGAAAAAAAAGGTCGCAAAAAAACATCTAACCGGCCTCAAGCGAGAGGCTGAGCAAAGAAAGTGTTTGTAGATCAGATTCCCGACACGAAATGAGCAGAAGAGGGTCAGAATGCACCGTGTTCTTCTGTGCATGAGCTGTATTGGCTGTTGCTCATGTTGTGCGCATCCTCCACCGCGCGACTGTTGCTCGTGCGCGCGCGCGTGCGTGTGTGTGAGCAGCTCTATTTACCTGAACATGGGAATTTCAGCATGAGAAAATCTGGTTTTCCGTTCTGACGATTGCACTTTAGAATAAAGAGGAACATTATCATGGTCATATTGCATATTAAAATAAATTACACTGGGGAAAAAAATGATGCAGAATCCATTTTAACTCTAGTGAAATGTCTAGTGAGTTTCATTGATTACAAAGAAATGGGAAGTAGCCTAACATTAAACGTGAAATTTTAAGTAGCAACACTGAAATCGTATTTTCAAAAATACTAACATGAATAGGCCTAAACAAGAAATAATTGCATTTTTATCAACTATCATTAAGAATAATAGTTGCTGTATTTGATAAACAAGAACTTATTGTAAAGCGTTTATCATTTTATAAGAATTAATATATTTTTAACCGTAAAAGGGGTGACGTATCCTGGGGGATACCAACATTAAATAATCAAAAACCGAATTAAAAAAAAAAAAAAAATCATGAAATTGTTTTATTTGTGTCATAATAATATGGAAAATAGCAATTCGGGAATTTTCTGATGTCTGTTTATGGTCTTGAGCTTTTGAGGGTTACGCAAGTGTGTTGTTGACAGGCCTTAATGGTCAACACGTCTGCCATTAGTTTGACACAAAAGTCCACTGACGCCGAGTTGAACTGAATGTGCAGTTTATTTAGATCCCAACAAGAACTAAACACAACAGACATGAACTAAACATGAACTAAACACAACAGACATGAACTAAACATGAACTAAACACAACAGACATGAACTAAACACAGTAAGCAATAGACTTGAACATGAACTGAACTCACCGACAGCAGTAAAAGGGGACACGGGTCACATACGGGCTATATACACACACACAACACTAATGACTAACCACACACACCTGAACACAAACCAATACAAACGTTACACGATCACATGACTGTTAAGGGAATCACATGAAAAACAGGAACCGTGACTAACTACAAAACCCCAAACATCTGTTTTATAAGAGCTTGTTTCAGTCACAGCTTATTGTCAGAATTTTGAGTTTATATTATATTATTTCTCACAATTGTATGTTTTTATCTTGAAGTTCTAACAGTTTTTCCAAGAAGTGTGACATAAACTCACAACTGCAAAAAAAAAAAAAAAAAAATGTGATGCTAAAAGTTACCTTTTCTACTTTTTATTCCATAGAGGAAACAAGATTTCATAGTTTTATAAGAGAGTTAAAAAAAATGTTAAAAAAGGAAATAAATCTAGGTCTATAGTAAAATCATAAAGAAATTTAAATGACATTAAAAAGCAAAATTTTATACTTAAAATACATAATGTTTAAAGCTTATATTTAAAAAAATATATCATAAAAAATAAATATATATATATATATATATATATATATATATATATATATATATATAATACTGTAATTTCAGGCCTTTTAAAACCAGGACCAAAAATTTTAAGAACATAAAAGAACATATTCATTGATCGGTTCATGATCAATGCATATTTCAATGCATATATATCAATGTATATATTATGATGATGATTGGAAGATGTCTTTTTTTCAGTAAAAGACCCAAATACATCATATTAATGTAATAATACTGTAATTTCAGGACCAAAAACTTAGAACTGAGACAACATTAATCAGCCAATAATAACCAGACTAAACCTCTAATAATGATTTTATCAAGTTGAGTCATTTATTTGTACGCCACTTTTCACATCATCACACCTTTTCCAAGCAGCTTTATATAAAGTCATACTGTTACTGTATGTCTATAATCGCTGTGCAATATGATGACATCACATAACTTTTATTTAATATCTACTCAATTCAACATTTATTAGTTTAAAAAGAACATGCCAAATCCCATCTGAATAAAGGACTTATATTGCAATATTGTTTTTAAGTTAGTCATTTTAATGCCACTCTCCCTAGAAATCATTCACAGTGTTAATTAATGCAGATTTATGATGATAAAGTTAATGAACTGACTCCAGGTTTGTACCAGGTCTGAGTTACAGGAACAGTGTGTGATGAAAACATAAAGAAAATGTTGTTATACAGCCAAGTAATATATCCATTCGTTCAAAATCGCATTCAGAAAGTTTAACGTGTCCACATAATAAAACAGTCCTTTGAGGAATAATCAACATAAAACTAATCAGCGACTGCACGTTCATCAATCCTGCTGTGAATGAGTTCATCTAACACACAGCGACCTCTAGAGGACATCTACTGTACTGCTCAAATCAACAGTTGCTAATGCTAACTCACTCTAGCATCACTTTGACCACAGAGGTAAGAGACTGTAGTATTAGTTTTGAAAACTTATTTTTATTCTTTATGTTTTAATTCTATTTGAGGGTGTATGATTTGTATTTGCCAAATTGTTTTTTTTTATAGATGTTTAGATTATCTTATTTAGATGATGTTTTAAGTTTGTTCTTTATTTGTTGTACAGCACTTTGGTTTCAACATCTGTTATTTTTAAATGTATGAATGCAGGATATATATATATATATATATATATATATATATATATATATACATATATGTGTGTGTGTGTGTGTGTGTGTGTGTGTGTGTGTGTGTGTGTGTGTGTGTGTGTGTGTGTGTGTGTGTGTGTGTGTGAGTGAGTGTTGAGTGTTGTGAGTGTATGTTTCGTATTGAGCATTGATGGAACAACATATTTTGTGTGAAAATAAATCAAGTGGTTTGTTTGTTTGTTTGTTTGGGCATTTTACCCCAGACAACTAGCCCAGGCTACCTGCCATCTGCATCATAAATTCATAATATATACATTAAGGTTTTTTTACTTTAAAAAACGAAATAAAATCATTATCTGGCTTACCTGGTGACTCGATGAGGTACAAGTAAATGTCCGGGTAAGTCACCTCTGGCCACTGGGTGGGGTTGTTTGACCAATTTGACGCTGGGAGAATAAAGGGACAGCTTCATTTACGCATCATGTGGCTGATGATATGCCTCTCTCAACCACAAACGCCTTCTTTCATAATTTTTTTTTTTGCATTCTTCTCTTTAACGTTTGTCAGTCTATAGAACTCGAAAGGTATTTTCACGATGCGAACGATTAGTACAGACCAAAACTCATTTTTCAGCTGAAATAATCAGCCAAATTTGCGAGTCCGTTCAGTTCAATGGCATTGTTTATGTTCTGTGCCTCCAAAATGGCCGACTTCCGGATTGATGACGCGTCGTGAAAACCCTGTATGCTGTATGATGCTAATTTTTTTTTTTTATCTTATTTTGTTTATTAAGTAACGAGTACACGAGTTAGATTTGGAAAGTGCGAGTTGTGAGATACCAATCGCCTCCGTGAGTCTGTCTGGCCTCTGCAGCCCACTTAATGTTTTAAACTTTTCAACCTGAGGGCTTAAAAATAACGATGAATTCTTAGATAAATAGCTAGGTCTTCACTTTGGAAGTGCCCAGAAACATGACAAAAAAATGAACACCCACTCACACCACATCAGAATTCCATTCTGAAATCCGCTCAGTAACTCCTTTACTGTCTGCTATCTCCACACTGTAGGATAAACACCAGGCAAGGTTTTAAACGCCGCAGTAACTTCATCCAGCCACTAGAGGAGGCCATCTCACTCCTTTACTTATATTTTCATTTAAAATAACGGCTGAAGGGCTTGTCATGCTCGAAGCGGAGTAACCTGGGAGTAACCCCTTGCCTCGAGTATCTTATTGCTTTTTTAAAACGGTTACCACACAATAAAATTATTAAAGTAAAAAAAAAAATGTATTAGTGCAACTTTCATGAAGTAAGATCACTAAAAGCCTTCCTTCCGCTAGAAAAAAATAGTCCCTGATCGTGAACAGCAACAGCCTCCTCTCTCTCTCTCTCTCTCTCTCTATATATATATATATATATATATATACAAGAAACACACATATATAAATAAATATATATATATATATATATATATATATATATATATATATATATATATATAAGAAACTTTGCATCAAATAACAAGAAACTAGTTAACGCTGCTGACCCAAAGTTGGGTTAAAACAACCCATTTTAGAGTGTGTTCTTTATATTCACAATATAATCCTGAACAATCATATGTCTCAGTTTCTGCAAACCTTTCAACATTGATAATAATCATTATGTTTCTTGATCATCAGATCCTCATAGTGATTTCTGGAGGATCATGTGACACTGAAGACTGGAGTAATGATGCTGGAAATCACAGGAATAAATTACACTTTACTATATATTCACATGGAAAATGGTCCTTAAAAAAGTGTAATAATATTTCAGAGTTACTGTATTTTTGGATAACTTTGGATAACTGGTGAGTATGAGACTCAGAATAAGACAGAAAGAGAGCAGAAAAGAGATGTGTTTACTGCGGCTTAAGCAAACTTTTAAACATTTAGTGGAAGAAGTGAAAGGTGAATTGTGCAGTGTGTGATTTATGAATAACCATCCCTGACATCAAGAGCACGACAGAACCTGAAACCACGAGAGAGAGAAATGAAAGCATAAACTAAAATAGCTAAAAATCAAGCTAACAAAAATAACTAAAAAGAGAACAGAGGAAACGGCGAGTCAAAGTGGAAATACAGAAACTGACGGAGATTCAGTTCAGAGAAATGTGACCCGCATTTGATGAGTGTGTATGTGTGTGTGTGTGTGTGTGCTTTTATTCCCATGGGAAGCAGCTATTTTTACCTGACTGTCAGGAATGAAGCAGAACGACAGATGAAAACTGATAAAGGCAGTAAACGGGTATGAACCACCAGGCTAAATTTATTTTTGCAATATTTTTGTCTTTTTTTCATGCTCTCAATACATTCAGATACAAAAATCTGGATTGCATTTTGTTAAAACATCTTTTCTTTGAGAACAAGAAGTTTCAAATGTTTATATAAAATTAAGTACTATCAAACATGCGTAACTTTCAGTTCTCAACTCTAAAAGAGCATTTATGTAGTAGTGTTTAAAGATTAACATTAAAAGGGGACATTAATAATTTAAATGTCTTTAAGGTTTTTTTTTTGTTTTTTGTTTTTGTCTTTTTGTCTGAAGTTTTCAGTTTTAATATTCCAAATAAGTTAATTAATTTTCCGAATACAATGAGCCCTTATTTTAAAAATCAATGACAATTCCTCCTGAAATGCTTCACTTAAACATCATATTCCTACTTTTACTTTAACATAACATTACATGCCAACACACTATAATTAAATAATTTCTCACATTTATGAGTATAGCGCTGTCAATATTTACTGGATTTATCACTACAACCACAGTGATGTATGATAATTCACAATGCAGATGTAAAACGGAAACAGTCTTAAACGTAAAAACTTCAGTGGCGGCCTTAAATTTAACTCATTAAAATTAAAATGATATAAAACTGACTAAAAATCGAGCTGAATCTCATGTAACTTATTTTTAAAAAGCCAAAACTTGTTTAGTAATGTTAAAGCATAAGTTTAACATTATATTTAATAGGGGTATAAGCTAAATTGGGCCACTATTTGGTAAATCGTGGGACAATAATACAATATATGCCATTTCCATGTGTTTTTATGATTAATAATGACTGTTTTTGATAGATTTGTGTTAAAATCATTTAATAAAATATAATTATTTAGGCTCTACAGTTCTTGAAACATCAGTTGTGCCAATAACTGGTAAAATGGGCCAGTCAAACTGCAAAGGGAAATAGCAATTTATCATCAATTTTAAAACACAATTTCTTCTACAGCCACATACCATTTAAACTGCATTAAACAAACATATTTCATATGTGCCATTTAAAAACAAAAATGTGTGTGTTTGTGAGTGGCCCATTTTATCTGATATCACCCTAATAATAAAAACATGCATATTTTTATCTCATAATTCTGGACTTTTTTTCCAAGAATTGCACGTTTATAGGCCTATATCTCACAATTCAGAATGCATAACTCACAACTAGGTTCGATAAGCATGCAAATCATCTTAACTGATGAACTGCATCACTTATTGTGACAGATGAATCCGAGGCTGCTGCCATCACCGCGCTCAGATCACGCGTGTGTGTGTTCCTGGACAGATCTTTCATGGCGCTGTAGTAAACACATCTTCCGGCTCGGCCCTGTCGGTCTGAGCTGCGCTTGCAGTCGCACAGCCTCTTGAAAGCAGCGCGAAACTTCTGCGACATGGCGTTGTAGATGATGGGGTTGACGGCGCTGTTGGTGTAAATGCACATGCGACAGAAGAGGAGGAACCAGGTGTTGAGGTACGGCGGGTCCATGAGCGAGTTCACCACCACCAGAGTCCGGTACGGCATCCACAGCACCGCGAACAGAACCACCACCACCGCCAGCATCTGCGTCACCTGACGGACAGGACGAGAGAGAGAAGACATTTATTTATTCATTTAATTGGGGAAAAGCATGTTGATGAACATTAGTAGCTATGAAATACAAAATGTAAGCCTGATTATTGCAACATTGCTAATTTGCATCATAAACTCTCAGAAAAAAAGGTAGGGTACAAAAGCGGTAATATTTATACTAATATGCACACTTTTGGTACCAATCTGTACCTTTGAGGGACTAATATGCACTCTTTAGGTACAAAGATGTACCTTTTGAAAAGATTCTGAGACAGTGACAGCTTTTGTGCCTTTTTTCTGAGAGTCAGAATAATAGAGGTCAGCACAAGGTCACTGTGCAGTTTTCAGTTTAAAACATTTGTATTAAATAAATAAATACAAAATAATACATGCATTTTTACATTGTGTATATTTTCTATAAAGTTCATACACATGAAAATAAATACATAAATAAATGCTTTCTTTATATTTTCTAGACTTATATATGAAATGTATTGTTATTTATTGGCTTTTATTGTCTATTTATATCAAATAAATGATATAGACATGAAAATAAATATTTAAATTAGGGCTGTGCAAAAGTTAATTGCGATTAATCGCATCCAAAATAAAAGTCTGTTTTACATAATATATTTGTTTGTGCTGTATATAATTATTTTGTATATATAAATACCTATGCATGCATGCATATATTTAAGAATTATTTGCTCTTAAATTCTGTATATATATATAAATACATAATCTATATTATATAAATATAAATATTTTATATAGGAATAACACATTTTCTTAAACATATACATGCATGTGTGTGTATTTATATATACAAAATAATTATATACAGCACACACAAATATATATGTAAACACTATGTAAAGACTTTTATTTTGGATGCGATTAATCGCAATTAACTTTTGCACAGCCCTAATTTAAATATTAATAAGTATGTTTTGTTTATATTATCTGTGTATTATGTCAATTTAATATCAAATAAATTGCATAGGCATTAAAATAAATCATAACTATGTTAACAAAGTTTTTGTGCAATGTAATACTATAGTAAAAAATAAATATTTAATTATTAATACATATTCTTTTATATTTTCTGTTTATTATGTCAATACATTTCATATGTATTAAAATTTTTTCTTTATATGTTCAATTTATTATGTCAGTTTAAATCAAATAAATTACGTAGACATGAAAATAAATATAAACTGTTTTCTTTCTTTATATCTTTATATTCTATAATAGACATACATTTGACACACACACACACACTGTAAAATACTATGTGTTTATTAAGATTCTAAGTTTCAACTTGGATTTTTGAGTCATCACAACAAAAAAGATGCAAAATTTTAAGTTGTGATAACTAGTTAAAAAAATAATTCTTTGATAGTCTTTTTTCCTTTTTTCTTTCTTTCCTTCTTTCTGTCTTTCTTTCCTTATTTCTTTCTTTCCTTCCTTCCTTCCTTCCTTCCTTTCTTTCTTTCTTTCTTTCTTTCATTCCTTCTTTCTGTCTTTCTTTCCTTATTTCTTTCTTTCCTTCCTTCCTTCCTTTCTCTCTTTTTTTTCTTTCTTCCTTTCTTTCCTTCCTTCCTTTCTCTTTTTTTTCTTTCATTCCTTCTTTCTGTCTTTCTTCCTTATTTCTTTTTTTCCTTCCTTCCTTCCTTTCTCTCTTTTTTTTCTTTCATTCCTTCTTTCTGTCTTTCTTTCCTTATTTCTTTCCTTCCTTCCTTCCTTCCTTCCTTCCTTCCTTCCTTCCTTCCTCTCTTTTTTTCTTTCTTTCTTTCTCTCTTTTTCTTTCCTTCCTTCCTTTATTTCTTTCAAATGGACATGATAGACAGACAGATCAAACCTGTTTTCTGGACGTTGCTGCACTGTTCGTTTTCCAGGACACCTTCACTGAACTCTTTCGTCGGCTCTGATGGACGGAGAGCCTTTGCTCGGAGAGATTCGACGGCAGCGGATCTCGAAACAAGACCCTGGCGATCAGACCGTACAGAACCGACGCCACGACGAGAGGAACCACATAAAACAAGGTGAAGTCCAGAAAGTAGATGGGCATATAGAGGTTCCTGGACACCCGATAGCCGCAGCGGACCACGACGCCGTTCCCATAAACCGTCTCATTGGTGTCCACCAGGAAAAACCACATGATGCAGTACAGAGACGTGAAGATCCAAACGCAGGCGATGATCTTCTTGGCTCGGGACACGGTGCAGATGAACTGGGCTTTGATGGAGTGGCAGATGGCGATGTAGCGCTCGACCGTGAAGGCCGTGATGGAGCAAGACGAGACGTTGATGCCCAGATACTGCAGGAACGTGATGCAAACGCAGCCGGCGTATCCGTAGATCCACGAAGCCACGACCTCGGAGATGTTGGGCAAACCGGCGGCCAGGAGCACGGTCAGATCGGCCACCGCCAGACTCACCAGGTAGCAGTTGGTTGCGGTCATCATGTGCTTGCTACGGATCACCACTAAAACCACCATGGCGTTCCCGGCGATTCCCACCCCGCAGATCAGCAGAGACAGAGAGATGGTGACCGCCTGAACCTCCAGCGGGTTCTCCGGCATCGTGGAGTTTCTGTCGGGATGTGTCGAGGTGCTGTTATCCGTCGTGGCGTTTCCCATTCCAGCCGTTTCCAACCAAACCCAGGAGAAAGTTTGAGAACAGTGAGATGAAGTGCACACGTCTGAGAAGATATGCTCACGGAGATACTGGATGATCCAGCGAGAGGAAAACGAGGCGACTTCTTCTCCAGAGAGATGCAGCATCTACTGAGAAAACAAGCCTGTGTCTTCTTCTCTCCTCCTCCTCCTCCTCTGTCACTCACTACCAATGAATCCCTGTCCTCTCTCTCTCCTGATTCTTGTCGAAAGCTTTGTGTTCGGTTATAAATACACTCTAAAAAATGCTGGGTTGTTTTAACCCATCTTTGGGTCAAATATGGACAAACACAGCCATTGGGTTAAATGTTTAAATTACATTTTAACCCAACATTTGGGTTTGTCCATATTTGACCCAAATTTGGGTTAAAACAACCCAGCATTTTTTTAGAGTGTAGTTAGTTAAATGCATATTTAAAGGGGGCCTATAATGCAAAATTTACTTTTATCAGGTGTTTGAGCTCAGATGTGTCCACAGTGTGTAAACAACCAGCCTATAATGGTGAAAATCCACCCACTCCCTTTTTGTATAATCCCAAGAAATAAATGTAATTAATGCAGGAATGTGCTGAGAGTTACAATTTTGCACTAATTATTTACACTGGACTGCTTCACAAATGTGGGTCAGTTCAACGCTGGATTTGCACAAAAGTTAATCACAAAAGATTAACGTGACGGTGCATGCTAGTCAATGATGCTAGTCAACTTAACTCCACACCAATTACATAAATGTATCCACTAACCTTTCAGAAACTTTGCATTGTAAAAGTTGTAACTTCTTCCAGAGTCTCTCCATCATTGTCCGATAACATGTAAAGCTGAACTCCGCTACTGATCGTTTATAACATTTTGGCTGTGTGAGATTCTCCAGTTCTGTTGTTGCCAGAGCACGCGATGCACGAGCTGTAAAGGCTCCACCCACTTCTGGAAAAGGGGCGGAGTGAAGCAGCTCATTAGCATTTAAAGGGACACACAAAAAGAGCGTGTTTTTGCTCACACTCAAATAGGAGGAAATTTGACAAGCTATAATAAGTGATATGTTGGGTATTTTGAGCTGAAATTCCTCAGATATATTCTGGGCACACCAGAGATTATATAATATTTTGTAAAATGGGTCAATCATGATGAATTTATTCCCTAATGTTAAATGTTCAATGACAGGAAGATTACTGAGGTAAAGCAGGCAGTCGTCGGCTCTCATGAGATATGGTAAATAAAAAGCTGGAAAATAAAACAGCTTTCTCATAAGTACTAAATATATTTCATCATATACTTGCCCTCATGTCGTTCCAAATCTGTCTGACACTGGTCCACAAAAAAGATATAAAAATAAAATAAAAGACAATGGAGTCTTCAAAAAATCTTCTTTTGGATCCACAGAATAAATCACACTGGACTGGAATGACATGAAGGTGGGCAAATAATGCCAGAATTTGATCTTAACTATCCCTTTAAGGCTTTTACTCCATTTTTCTACATTCAGGAAGTAAACTAGCAAAGAGTTCACAGATCTAATAAAGAAAGACTTCAAATGTAAATGATGAATGTTATTCTGTAGATACTCTGATATGAGACCCGGATCACAACTCTGATGACCAACAGATCTCCAGTCTGATATTATAAAAACACGGCAGGATTAACAATCTTTAAATGTAGTAGATTCACCCAGACACAAGAGGGAGCCATCTCACTTCTAATGCCTGAAAAACTCATTTAGCAAAACATGCCAACCCAACTAACTTACTGTAAGGGTTTCAAGAATAAAGTATAAGATATGTACACAAAAATGACAAATCACAATGAGATTAAATCTGACTCCCACCCCTGGTTTCACAGATAAGGCTTAACGTTAATGTATGCAGACTAAAATGTATGTTTGAGCCATTTTAACTGAAAGCAAATTGCACTGGTCCTAAAATATGTCAGTGCCATTGTTTAGTCTCAAGATGCATAGCCTCCCAGTAATGTTATTTTCTAAGGCACGTTTATAAAAGCTACTTAAATGTCCTAGTTGAACTAAGGTCTAATCTTGGTTTAATATAAACCCAGTCTGTGAAAGCAGGCCTCAGATTATTGTGCTGATGTGGCTGGAATGATTTATGGTTGGCTGGTCTTAACTAGTTTCTGCACTGATTTTGGTGTTTCTGGTACTTTATAGAGGCTGAGATATTGGTGATGTTGAAATCATGCAGGTAATTATGATTAGGCTGTGCTGGAATAACTGGGGCTGGTCACATTTGCATATTGTTGCCTGTGGTTGGTTTGACTGCTTCTATTGCTCTCTTCATTTGTAGTCGCTTTGGATAAAAGCTTCTGCTAAATTATTAAATGTAAATGTCAAATTTCTTGTCAACTGACAATATTAATCTTTTCATGGGTAAATATTTCACCTTTAGCCTACCTTTGTTCTGTTTGATGGGGGCGTTAACACTTATCTTGTTAAAACATGAACACATGCCTCTGGTTCAGGACTCATTACAGTATTTTTCCATTGAATGTTTGTAAGCATAAAGCATAAAAACTCTAGCAACATTAAACTTGTGTTTCGTTTGAAGTGCTTGTGTTAAAACAGGCTGGATTGTCTGTTTACTGATATTAAACATTGGTTCATGTGACTTGGGTTGAATGGGGTTATGTGGTGTTAGGGGAATTCATAGACAGACCTGTATTACAGGTTCTCAGCGGGACATCATGAGTCATTTAGTGCTTGCTGAACTGAGTTTTGTCACAGTCTTTACAGGTGAAACTCGAAAAATTAGAATATCGTGCAAAAGTTCATTTTTGAAATGTGAAACAAATTAATTACACTCATTACATGCAAAGTGAGATATTTCAAAGCTGTATTTGTTATAATTTTGATGATTATGGCTTACAGATATGAAAACCTTTTCACAATATTCTAATTTTGAATTTGGGGTTTTCATAAGCTGTAAACCATAATCATCAAAATTATAACAAATAAAGGCTTGAAATATCTCACTTTGCATGTAATGAGTCTACATAATATATTAGTTTCACCTTCTAAGGTGAATTTGAGAAATAAATGAACTTTTGCACTATATTCTAATTTTTCGAGTTTCCTTTATATTTGTTTTGTTGGATATTGGTTTGAATCTTATAGTGTGGACAGTGATTAGAACTGATTATGGGATACCTAATCCCAAGCTGGTCTTTGTGCACTCATTTCAGTGTTTCAAGCACTTTATAATGCTGAGAGACTGGTGATGTTGAAGTCAAACTTGTGCAAGTAGAAATCTTTTCGCTGGACCCGAGAGAGATATGATCAACTCTTCAATCAAATAGAAGCTCCACAATGTCAGCTAGAAAACACAGAAAACACACACAAATCCCTCAGAGTAAACCAAATATCACTGATTATCTTTCTCAGGGGTTTAGTTACGGTCTCTGGTGATCTTCCGGCTTAAAGCTCTTCAGGATGTTTTGTGACGTGTCTGTCGATGGCTCACAGAAGCTCCTGTAAGTTTCCCATCAATAACGTGGTGTCACTGAAACAAAAACAAAACAAACACACTTCATTTGAAAAAACACATTATGGGCCGAATGTTCATTAAAGTTCAATGAAATACAGTTGTTGAAATTAAACATTGTTACTTCCCCGTGATAACAAGCAGATCTGGGTTTGCTGAATGAGATCTTTTGTTCCACAGAAGAAAGTTGCAAACTGTTTTGCATAAAATCATCTTACATTCTTATACTTACCATCACATTATCATCTGTTCTCCAAAAACCTACCTGAATTTACTCCATTTGCAAAAGATCCATTGCGAGGTAACTAAATGTTTGAAGTAAAATGCAGTTTCTTTTTCTTTTTCCATTCATACCAATAAAATTGATCACTATGTGAATGAGGCAAACCACATCAGACGCTGACTGCTGTCCAAACGTGTTCTGTGTTACAGCAGCAGGACTGAATCAGCCGGCATTAGAAGGAGTTTTACAACCCAAAGTTCATCCAAAAGCTCAATCTCAGCGGCCCAAGAACTGTCCCATCATCACATTCCTCATAATCCTCGCTCTTGAAGATGATAGATGAAACATGACAATGCAAACTGAAGGATCTTCTCTCTTCTGTCGATCTTCAGTGATACTGAAGTTTTTTCAAACAGCTGTAGTTTCTGATGCAAGTTTCCATATAGACATACAGACAACCGCTGTCAACTGGGCCGCACCAGAGAACTGTCACATGCAGTCACTTGAGTACATAAAAACACACACAAAAATGTAACTATTTAATTTTTATTTTTCAAATTATGTGACCATTGGATGAAACGACCTCTGCATGTAAGAGAGAGGGCCTTGGAAGAGAGACTCCTGGTGCTTCTCTGAGGTTGATGAAGCACATCTAGGTCTTGGAGTAGAGTATCTTTTTCGCTTCTCTGAGGATTAGGGATTTGAGGGACTCTGGAACCAAGCTGAACAAACCTGAACCAATTTGGTAAGCAGCTGAAATCAGGAGTTTCCAGCCAAACCCAGTTGACAATTCAGCCAAGTCAGATATTCCTGAACCAATCATGCATGCTGTCAAAAGTAGTTGTGTGCACTGCCATAGCTTTGAAGAAGACAGAGCTGTCGGGTTTACAGTGGTGGTGTCGTGATCAAGTTGTTGAGCTGCTGCTTTGTTCCAGTGTTGAAATTTAATAAACACCTCAACCAAAGATCTTACACCTGATCCAATTCGACAAACAGCTAAAATCAGCAGTAGCCAGCTGAAACATGCTGAGAACACCTCAATCAGGTTCAGGTTACCTAAAAGAATATGGTATACACCCGAAACAATACAGCTAAAGCTAAACCTAAACCAAAAGTAAACCACTGCTGTAGCTTTGAAAAACACAAAGCTTGCGGGGTTACTGTGGTGGTTGTTTCAGGTGTAGTTTCAGGCATGTTGACCACAATGAATCCAGGTGAATCAGACATTCGCACTTGTTGAATGAGAGGATCTCGATCTTCCAGTGCCATTTGGCCAAAAGCACTCCTTCGGGCAATATCTAAACTCACCTGTGTCGTACTCAGTGATCGCTCTGTGTGTTCACGTGGCAGCGATGGAGCAAACATTTATCTGTAGACCAGTCTGGATTCCTTTTCCTTCTCCGTGTCAACCTGGAATGAGTGCTCTTTATATAGTGACTCGGCAGGAGCACAGCAGGTGGCAGATCTTTATTGGTCAGAAAAAGAAAAGAAAAAACACGTCATCTCACAAGATTTGACGTCACAAGAATTCCAACTCA